TGGAATGAGTCCAGTGGAGGTTCACTTCGTCTTCGGTTCTCGGTGCTGTCGGCCATTGAGAACTCATCAGTGCGCTGGCTAAGTGCTGGGAGCAGCCCAGTTGCCCAGCACCGTCCAGGGCGAGGCCGCAGGAGAGAGACGTGAAGGGATAGGATTAGGAGGTTCGAACTTCAAAGTACATTTTCCAATGTATTCGTATGTTAGGAGAGAAGGTACTTGCTCCGATGTACCTTTCCTTTCCTTCCTTTCCTCACAGCATCTGCTTACCATACCACAGTAGGTAGGTTAGGTAGGTAGGTCCCAGGGGGCAGTTTGCTGGGTGCCTGCTCGCTGGGTTCCGTTTCCTTCTCAGGTTCCTGCCCTTCCACTCCCCATCAATCCATCCATCCGCATCATTCTTCCCCCCAAAAAGCCACAAATCCAAGGGGTCCCCGGGCGCATTCAAAGTTGTCGGTTGGCTGCCCGTTGGACACCCCCCTCAGCCAGGCCATGGATGTTCAGTTCCCCACTCAGTAAGGCGCAGCCGAGCCCCGTCCCTGCCAGCCTGGGCCCATGTCAACCCATTTCAATTCAGGTCAGGTCAGCCAAAGTTGGGAGCGACCTGAGAAAATTGGCTACCTTATTACGGAACACACACTCTCTCTCGGCCTCTGGGCCCTCAATATTCTGTACCTACTTTTGTCTGCCCAGTGCATGTCACAACGAGCCCACCCGACCATTTGCTCAATTCGTCTCGTCGCCCAGCCGACTCACTAACAAGGTCCAGACATGGCTTGTCCGCTCGTTAGTCTTCCCTTCGCCGCTATGAATACCCTGGACCCCTTCTTTTCTCTTGGGGCTACGAACACCTAAAGTGGCCTCACGCAGGGACACTGTCAAGACTGTCCAACTACGAACCATGCGAGTACACCACCTATCTGTATCGCTCTCCAGCGCAAACCTCACTCGAACCTAGGCTCGTCCAAAGCAGACAGACGACGGGGGCCGGTACATAAGGTAAGACAAGGGCGAGGGGAAGAAGGTTTCCCAATGGCAGTGCTTGTCTAGCGCCCGGCCTGAAACCCAAGACTGCCACCCTATGACGTGCTGATGGAATTCCGCAAAGCTAGGTCACCTCGATCCATTTCAACGCCAACAGCTGGCGTGAGACCTTGTCTCTGACCTGGATGTGGCTAATGCCATCCGTCGCGCACTCAATGGTGCCAAATAACACGCCAAACTCTATGCAATCTAGGTATTCCTGAGGTGTTACTGGCATCATGGCATGTCAAGTAAGGCATCGTCCTCCGATTAATCACCAAAACCACTTCTGCTAACCATCAAGTGACCCAGCAGTACCACAACGCTCAGTGAGCTCGTGCAGAGCAGGCAGAGCAGGCAGAGCAGAGCAATACAAGGACAAGGACATGCACAGCCCAAGCACGCTTCAGGCCTGAGATGGCAGTTCAATCGCATCTGTGACTTGCATACGGGCATCTCCAGTCGCCGTGCTCACAGCGCCAGCATACGCAGTACACCAGTCCGCCTGTCTTTCTGTTTTTGAGCGGACTCTGTTGTAGCTTGACTACATCCAGAATGACAACCTTCTATGCGTATCCGTCTAATGCTACAGTACCTTACGGTAACAAGCACACGGCACACTTGGCCGACAAATTTCTGCCCTTGTCCTCGTCTCCCCTTCCGGTTACCGACACACTGTTCGCCTTCGGGAAACAATTTGGACGGAGATGAAGAGAGTCGCGCATGGGCCAATCTGCCAGGATCATCAACTGAACATGACTGTGGCAGGACAGAACTACGACTTCAGACGAAACCTAGACCACCGATCGATACAGTACCCGTCTATATGCTGGCAAGCATCCAGCTAGACTCTGCGCGCTACCTGGTAAACGAGCATCAATACCAGCAGCATCGTCACAATTCCCCATGGAGGGAGATGCAAAACCAAGAAAGGCACCGGATCGAGATCCCAATGAATCCGGCAGACCCAGTTTCCAAGACACTGAGCAAATTGCCTAGGCATATGCATCGCAGAGGATCGTCCATCCCGCGGCGCCGTGTGCGACGCTCCAATCCCAGCAGAGGGCTTCTCCAGCGTCCACGGCCAGGAATACCTATCGATGTTGTTGCTGGCTGAGCCACAGAAACCCGAGCTACTACAACGCACAGCAAGAAAAACCTGCCAGCATGGACCAGCATTTAATCATGTTTGACGGGTTCTCCATGCATAGCATCTGGCTGCTATACCCCCAATTGCACAACTCGACACTTCATTCGCACAACACATCCTTGGCCATAGCCGTCGTATCTATACTCGTGCATGCTCTCGAAACATCATCGTCCGTCCCTTCAAAAAGAAAATCGACTCGAATTGCATTATAATATGAGACTTCAGACTCAATGCGCTACCAGCTCAGTCACTCACTGCCTAGAGGCCAGAATGATCACCTCGAAACTGGGAATAAGCCACCACCTCGATTATCTAGGTACACAGAACCTACCCAACTGACTTTGCCAACCTTGCCGTGCTTGCGTAAGTATCTCAAGCAAACGTACGTCAAACTTTGGTAGTGAAACATGGACTCTCTTCGTCAAAACCCGTCATCCGTCAATTGCGATAACTCGCTAGTCAACCAACCCAATCATACCGCCTTTCCCTCCACCACCCGTGGCGACAACAAATAGGAATCAGATTCCTTCGCGTCCCCAATACGAACTTCTGCACAAGCCAGTCTCCATGTGTCTCGCTTACTTCTGTTGTAGCTATTTTCGGCAACCTTTGATTCTTTGGCTCCAGACAACGACCTTGAGGCTCTTATCCCGGCATGGTATGCATAATTTCGCACCGCTGATTTGAGTGCCATCACGCTGTCTGAACGACGCTCTTCAGCCCCACTTGCCCCCATTGTTGCCGCATCCCGGACGACGAAGCTGATTTCAAGTCATGCCGCCTGCTTCACGGTCTGTCGCTAAGGACAGGCTGACTGTTGCCTCCTTAATCGACAGCACGAATCTTGCGAGCTTTCTTCTCTTTTGATGGCCGTCTACATGATGAAGTGCTAAGATATTTACTGGTAGCCGCGGAAACCCCGTGTTGCCCAGGCCGGATCTCAGCCGTTGATATGAGGGTAACTTGTGCGGAATTCACAGATGCCAACACACAATCCAGAGAAACATGGTTTCAACTCATTCTCTTGGTTCCCGAGCAGCCATGCCTCACTCCGCGTGCTCACCTTATCTCCCATCGTATAGCTTCTTTGAGGAAATGGCCGGTCTTGCCCTCTAACCTGTAGCCGTCTGCTATATCTCACCGCTTCGCAACCACCGAATACTGTTTCTAGGCCAGTCCAGCCCTTACCTCGCGGGAACCTAATGTGAGACAGGCAGGACGCCAGGAAGCCGGACCCGGTGGGGCGCCATCACCGGGTTCGCCTCACATGAGCCGTTACGGGTAAGCCACAGGGTCAACCCGAGTCAAATGGGTAGAGACTTGTCCTGTGTCACCTTACGCCCGAACGGTGTGGTCAGGAAGAGACCTCGAAAAGTTGCTGCAGAAGAGGTTCAAAAGTACTGCGGCCCTTTACACACTAGCTAGGCGTGCTAGAATGGTAGGCACCGGCACAGCAGGAATACGATGATGCCGTCTTTCTCAAGCCCCCCACCCGTTGCCGTGCTGCATCATGGAGTATGCTTCCAACCACTCAGGCTCTTCCCGAGTTTCCACACTCTCCCGCTGGGAGGGCGGTTCGGACGGCTGGAAGGCACTTGTATATTCATTGTGGACATCACTGCCATGGCCGCGGAATAGCAAACCCTCTCCCTCAAAACGTGGCAGCACAGTGGGAGCAACAACCGAGATCCATCGTCATGTCAAGCCAGCCGAGTCGTCTCCTTCACACTGGTGCCACTGCGTTCAACGCGGAAAACCAGTCCCAGTCCCATAAAGATTTCACAGGAAGCCTTGTACGGAGTATACACCAAGTTACGTGTATTCGCCCAAGGGGCCTGGTTTTGTGGACTCCCGTCTCATTGTTACCTCCTCTGATCGGCAGTGCCACCCCCCCATCCACCCCTCCTTTTTTTTCTCCATCCAGCCTTCCATTTTCCCCGCTGCTTTCGCATTAGAGTGACGTACCCTTGGAACGGCATGACTGGAGTTTGGCCAACTTCATTGCTTTCTCATTGCCTCAGGTGAGAAAGTATTGCTACCCTGGTAAGGTAAACCGCAATTTTTATATTACCAAGGCCCCGTTTTGTAACCATAGATATATGTTGCCATGTAAGTAGGCAGCGTATCAAGCATACCAGTACACTCTTTCTTGCGAAGTACTTCTTCCGTTGAATGCTAGGGCATATGAATAACGTGACGAAAGCCTATGGCCCTAGCATGATAAAATACACATATAGTATGTCAATCAAAGTAAGTAGTGCCATCTCTACTTACCTTGGTCAGACTTTCTTGGTGGTCTTCTAGAGCATCCTTTCTTTGTAAAATGCCCAGTCACTGGTTGACTATGACGTTTCGAGCAACTTTATGTAGCTGACATTGGAAATCTATCGACGCCATTACTTCTGTCACTACCTATATTCTCGTCCAGAAATGTTCAACTGCCATCTCTCATAACGACCCTTGTCACCAGGTGAAGTAAGACGTAGAACGCCTTGGGGTGGAAGAAACGAATGATCCAAAAACTGCCACTTGCTTGAAGACTTCTCCAGGGTAGATATGTTGTACAAGCTCTTGGTGGTAAGACTTGGCCTAGATACAGTGGGACATGAGACAGGCAGACTAGAGGATGAGCCGGGCAAATGTAGAATAAGTGAGGCACAGGTGCAACCATTGAAGTAAGTTATGATTGTCATTGTCTACACGAAGCAAGTAAAAACCCAGTGTACAAATAGTGATAACTCGCCCCATAGCAAAGCCGCCTTGTAACGCGACCTAACGCCTGGCTCTCGAGGGATATGACACTCATCATAGAGTAAGAAAACTTATCACACTATACTCCTATGTCTTCTCCATCGCACAATGCACCAATATCAACCTCGAGCTCCACCTCAACTCCATGCTTCTCATACACCCAGGCGCACACAATTTCTTGAAGCTTGTTGCTGATATTCTCCATTTCATTACTACCCATGTGAAACGCCACTTCCTGGATGCCTCTGGAGATGTAAAGATCAAAATCAGACGCATTGGTAACCTCCTGCCGCAAATCTTGTAGATCAAGTGCAAGTGAGTGTGTTTGGGTGTGAGGCTCAGAGAAAAGCTTCTCAAATGGAAGCATCTCAGATCTCATTCTCTTGTGTATCTTGGTTCTCGACCTGGACCTAGATGCCAGTCTCTTCTTCAGGTATCTTCGCGGAGACATATCTGGCAGGGTGGTTGTAGCTCTCCGTGAGAGTGATCTTCCGCGTTCTTCACCTGCAATTTCGACATACACGTCTTCAGTTCTGTGGCGTAGAGCGTTCAATCTCTCCAACATCTGCCTCTCGTTTGGATCTGGGCTGGCTTGCTTATACCGATGCTTTGACTTCCTCGTCTCTTCGACATCATTGTAATTATCTCTTCTGGACTCAATTGAAGGAAAGCAATAACCTGATGTATCCTTGAGCTCCGGGTGCTGTATATCTCTTCGTGTGTTAACGGCAAGCTTGCTTTGTCTCAGTCCGTCTGCCCTACGAGGCTCAAATCTCCGAGCAGCCTGGGCAGGCCTCAGCGGTGCCTGTCGTCCATGACGGTTGCTACCTTGTTCAATGCGGGCAGGTACTCGGAATGGCTTTCGCAATGGACTGGAAGACGGAGGAGGCGTGCCAAGCACACTACTCTCGTCAAGATCTGTAAAGGGATACGGCGTCTTGGCACCGATGCGTTGGCGAACACCTGGGCCCCTCTGCGGTATTATTTCCAGGTCTTCGATTTCGTGTCCAGTAAAGGATGAATGGAATGCCTCCTCATCTCTTGGAATTCTTCGCTGTTCCCGGTGTCTTGGAATCTGATGACTTGTCGGTGGGGCGGCAGGGTGTTGTAGTATCGGTGGTTTCAAGGTATCTGGTTCGTAAATACCCTCCCTTGCTGCTGCAGGTAACCAATGGGGTTGGGATTTCTGCTGACGAGAAAATTCTCGATCTTCGATCTCTTGGCTGACTACTTCATCGGCCTCTTGCATAGTATCTGCTAAATTGGGGGCATGGCCTTGCTGGCGAGGAGTTGTATCGCCGTCCCTTTGTTCGCCCGTGTATTGGAGGCCAGATATATCTTCGCGGCGAGCCGAATGGTTTGCTGCCGCCTTCCTGGCCAAAGACCACGGGTTTGGTTCCTCTCTTTGTGTCTGCTGTTCCATTTGTGACTGGATGAACTCGTGTACGTCGGTGCTGGGAGGCCCCAGAAGAACCAGCTGCGTTTGACCCTCGGGACTGGCAGTCTCTTCTCTAGCCATATTCACTTCCCAACCAGTCCGAAGGAGGGTTTGGGTGAGCACTGCCTCCTGAGTATCCCCCTCATCTCCTCGGCCAATTCGTGCTTGCCCTGGGTCCGAGGAAGGGGAACTGTCTATGACAGTGCTGTACTCGATATCTATTGAGCTGTGATCCAGAGAAGCGGGACAACTCAGATCTTCCACCGCCCCAGGCACAGCTTTACGACCGTGTGAATGCTCTCTATCGGGGGGTTCTGGCAGCTGCTGTCCACTTTCAGGGGAACCCAGGCCGGTCAGTACTCTTTCCTGACTCTTCCCGTCGACCGAGACCAATTCTTGCAGGAGGTCATAGTTCTCTTCGTCGTCTGGAAGAAGATCCGGACCTTGATGTCTAGCTCGCTCGTATGCACCTTGGTGACTTTCCGTGACCACTTCAGCTGTAATGTCGGGCTCGGTTGCTCGGTATATCCCCTTGCACATGTCTTCGAATAGGGACAGTAATTTTGGCTCGTTTGCAAAGATGACCTCGTCTTTGGCCGTGGTTACGTTGGGGTCGTAGCTTCCGAGCCTGCATTCGACATTCAAGCGTATGAAGGGCTTGGGAATGGACTTGGAAGAATTGTCAAGAACGACACAGCCGCGCAGGTGTTTTTGGTAAATATCGACAAGTTTCTTCATCGTGCCCCCTGTGGTAGCCATAGGTCTCGAGTCAACGGAAATGAAGTAACCTTTGCCAGACACTTTCAAGGGATCGGCATCAGCTCTCGGGAGAAAAGCTTCGAGTCTCATGACGGATGCTGGTGTGTCTGGTCTTCCCGGTTTCGTTGCTAAGATCGCAGGAGTGGTTCCACTGAACGTCTTCTAGACGCATTGCGAAACTAATTCGGACCCAAAGACTTGGAGAACTGCCTCTCGTACGCCACCGTCTTTGCTTGGAGCATAAAACCACGAAAGCTTGTCATTTTTGATGACCTTCAAGCAGAGTCTAATGTGAGGTCGAGTGAGTGCGTATACCTGTAGGAGGTCCTTGATCTGTGCGTATGTTTTCTTGCTCTCCTTCAGAATTTGTTGCCTGCGAACCGGAATGTTGGCAAACAAGTCCGAGACGTCGACGGTAGTCCCAACGGAGCCCGCAACATGCTTCTTATCCGTAAATCCACCGCCCTTGGGGTTTAGTACCAGCAAGATCGCCACTGGATCACGGGTCGTTCTCGTCGTGATGGTAAGCTTCGAGACGGCATTTACGCTTGCCAAGGCATCGCCGCGGAAGCCGAGTGTTTGGCCTCCCTTGCATTGAAGCTCCTCGAAAGTCCGAAGCTTACTGGTGTGGGACCGGCGTCCAAGAGCATCGTAGTCTTCTGAGCTAATACCGTGACCGTTGTCTCTGACCTGGATTTTGTCTATTGCGTTTGCGGAAGTTCTGATCTCGATATGGTTTGCATGGGCGTCAATAGCATTGTCTACGAGTTCCTTGACAAGTGACACAGGAGATGGGATGACGACAGAGGAGCCAAGCTGACGAACAGTAGCTTGAGGTAGCTGAGATATTGACATCCTGCACGAACACAGGGCTCAAAGAGATCGGCGCAGACGTCTAAGACAAGAGCAGGTGCCCCGAAAGGGAGAAGATATTACTAGATAGTGAGGGACAGACAATATGGACACGACGATGTGAGAAGAACGACAAGGAAAATTGTCAAGATGATGGTGTTACGAAGGTTAGAAGAATCCGGCGGATCTGGACTTGAGAGAAAGGCAACAAGAAGAGACTGGGCGTACTCAACAGCAAGCGTAGGAAGTAGGTGTGTAAGTCGTCCCTTCCCGTCCAAGAACACGACGGTCGATTTGCCAGCTGGTCCCAGTCGATAGCCTTAATGGGAGCAACCGCCCGTGCCAAAGCTAAGGTACTGTTTCCTGCAGTCAATTCCCAGGGCGCCGAGCCCCGCAGCTCCCCTTCGCAGGTGCAAGGCACGCAAGCACCTCAAACCGCTCTGCCCCGCATCGCAAGGTCCTCGTTCCTGGAAGCCCGCCCGCCCGCCTTGCTACTGTGTATCCCGTAATACAAACACAAGTCATGCTAAGCGATTCCTAAGCCAAAACCCGCATCTTACGTAGCTCTTCCCAGCTCCCAAGAAGCATTGCTGTCCATCCCACCACTTGCCATCTTCAAACCACCCCGCCAAAAAACTACAGAGCTGCCCGCCCACTCACTTATCGCGACCACAATCACAAACGTCTGGATACCCTTCCTCTTCCCAAATCACCACCAACCCATTCAACTCAAAATGTCCGACATCAAGGGACCTACCCCGCAACAGCACGACGGCAGCGCCCTGCGCATCGGTATCGTCCACGCCCGCTGGAACTCGTCCATCATCGAACCCCTCGTCAAGGGCGCCAAGGAGAAGCTCCTCGCCTGCGGCGTAAAGGAGTCCAGCATCGTCGTCCAGTCCGTCCCGGGAGCTTGGGAGCTCCCCATCTCCGTCCAGAGGTGAGTCAACGGCAAAGCAGTCGTACAAGCAAGACTGGCTGGGGCTCGGAACTTCCGCTTTCGCAATCCATTCCAGAAGCTACTTGGCTGACAATGACCAACCCCCCAAACCCACAGACTCTACCAAGCCTCCCAAGTCCAATCCGCACAATCCGGCACCGGCACCTCGGCCGGCGACCTCCTCGGCGCCTCCACCACGGACCTGGCCTCCCTCCCCACCGAAACCGCCAGCGGCCAGCCATTTGACGCCATCATCGCCGTCGGCGTCCTCATCAAGGGCGAGACGATGCACTTTGAGTACATTGCCGACGCCGTCTCCCAGGGCCTCATGCGCGTCGGCCTCGACACGGGCGTCCCCGTCATCTTTGGCGTCCTGACCGTCCTCAGCGACGAGCAGGCTCAGGCCCGCGCCGGGCTCACGGCCGGCGGTCACAACCACGGCGAGGACTGGGGCCTGGCCGCCGTCGAGCTCGGCGTCAAGCGCAAAGCGTGGGCTGCGGGCAAGATGGAGTGAAGGTAAAGAGGGAAAGAAAGAGGAGTTCCCCGTTTGTCAGGAAGAAAACTCCTATTTGACACAACTGCTGCGTCTTTGAGGTGAAAGGGATTGGCAAGGGCAAGCTCTTTGGATTTTAGACGTTTGCTGGAAAACAAAAAAGTAAAAGAACCCGAAAAAGGAGACACAAAAGAGAAACGAAACAAATCATACCAAGGGTCTGTCGTGGATAGAGATCGACCCATTGAAATTTACTTGCCATTTGAAAACACATCAACATCTACTAGTAGACCCTGAAGCCAATGATCGAGTGAACAAACTTTCGGGGCCCCTGAGTAGGTTGCGTACACCAAACACAGCGCAAGCATGGTCTAGGCAATGAAAAAGGGCTCATCTTCAAGTTTTTTTCTCCAACATTAGTTGATTATGGCACCAAGAGCTGTCTATCATGACTTTGTAAACAATAACCAAGTCCTTTCATCTTGCTCTTTCACTCCCGCAGCGACGCCCGGCAAACAGATTCTCCCAGAATGTACACTTGATGAGGGTGCGCCGAAAGATTACCCTACACCAAACCCTAGATCGAAAAGAGAACCCAAACACGCCTTAAATGAGTTGCGTGATGTGTCTGTGTTCCTTTTTGGTAATATGTCCAGTCTTTTTTTTTTGTCGTGTTCCAATATCCCACCTCTTCTCTCATCCCCCTTTTATCCATGTGGCATCGTCATTTTGTGTACCTTCAAGAGATGAGTGCTCCAATTTCACTGCCGATGCTCTTCTTCGTCCTCCACAGTCCCCGCTTCTTCTCCTTCTTGGCCTTCATCGCGGCCCAGCCCTCTTCGTCGTCATCGTCCGAGTTGCTGTTGGATTTGTCAGGCAACTTGTTCTCCTGCTGCTGGACGACCTTGGGAGGCTGGTCCCATCCCATGGCTCCCGACATGACCGACATGCGTCGGCCAGAGTCCAATTGGGGCGCTTGCGTTACGGGTCTGTAACGGCCTGGTAAGCCCACGTTGCTGCGTTCCGAGGGTGCGATCGAGGGAGCATACCCGGCACCTTGGGCGTGAATACTGGGTGCGTACCCACCACCACCCATGCCTCCGTGAATAGATGGAGCAAATCCTCCTCCGGGAGGTTGAATCCATGAAGAGGAGCTTGGCTGCACCATGCTCATGGTTCTCGTTCGGGGGTCGAGTCGAGGGGGCTCCAGCATGGAATCTCCAAAGTAGGACTGGCGCTGGCTGTCGTGGACGGAGGGTGTTCCGACATGGCTCATCGGTCTTTGCATGCCATTCATTCCGTTCATGGCGTTCATGTTCTGACCACCTGGAGTCGCCATCATCTGCATGAACTGCATCTGCATCTGCATAAACTGCTGCATCTGCTGGGTCATTTGAATCTGTGCCTGGTCTCCTGGTGTAAGCATCATCTGGGGCATCTGAGGCATCTGAGGCATTCCGGGCATTCCCTGCATCTGCTGCATCTGCTGCATCTGTTGCATTTGCTGCATCTGTTGCATCTGCGGCATGCCTCCCATACCACCCATTCCGCCGTTCATTCCGTTCATGTTGCTGTATACCATGGAGGCCGGAACTCCGTTGCCAGGGCCAACCGGTGCTCCTGTGAAGGGATCGACGTTAGCCTCAACGTTGGGGCTACCTCTGCGCATAGCCCGGGCTCGTTCCTCGCCAGCGATAACACCGACAAGGCCGCCCACGACGGCTGGCTGCTGGGCACCGGGGGCGGGAGAGCCTCCTCCAAACGTAAGAGACTCGCGTGGCGGTCCGTTGATGAGACCAGCACCCAAGAACGGGTCTTGCGGGAGCTTCCTCGCAAAGGCGGGAAGGTGACCACCGCTTGTTCCCCTCGGCCCTGTTCCCTCGCCCATGCTCGACCCCGGTCTCGCAGGCTGGGGTTGGTTCTGAGCGGATGCACGCAAATCAGGATTCGAAGCCATGTTCATGAGTCGAGCAGGCGGCTTGTTCTTGTTTGGGAATCCGTGTGCAGCCAAAATGGCAAGCGGCACTTCTTCGTCCTCCTCTCCCTCGGAGCCGTCTGACCTGCCCGTCAGTGGACCCGCGGGGACGGTCAGGTTTCCGAGGTTGGGGGTGCTGAGCGACACCGATAGATTTGGTCGGGTAGCATGCCCGGAAGGGCCAGCCATCGGGTTCTCGCCCGTCACCTTCATCATCTGCTGTCGGTAGACGGCCATGTGAGCCTCCTGCTTCTTCCTTTGCTTGGCTGCTAGCTTCGCCTTTTCAATGTCATCCTCGTCGTCATCATACTGATCCTCATCGTCATCGCGGTTGTCGTCGGAGGCCTTGACCGTTTCGCTCGTGTTGTCATCGCGTTCCTTGTCTCGACGGTACTTCTCGAACTCGGCGGGAGTCATAACTTTGTTTCGGGGCGGGCTGTGATTGTTGTTGTTGGAGATGTAGCGTTGCGTGTTCGCGGGTGGCTTCGGCGGTTGTGCTCTGCTGTTATCGAACATATTCTCCTCCTCCTTCTTGCTGTCCGTTGCATCCCACGCTGTGGAGAATGCATCTTCATTTCTGCGGAATCTCCCGGGTGGAGACGGGTTGCTAGGCTGACCGGAACTGCCAAGAAATCGACTAGCTGCCACCGAATCCTTCAGAAGGTTTGCATCTTCGTCTTCGATGATATCGGATGGCACATTGTTGCGGAAGGCCAGTGGTGAGCCGTGCCGGGGCACTGGGGGTGGTGCAGTAGCCGGGGGAGAGTTGGAACCGGAGTGCAGCAAATTATCATTAGAGTGTTGACTGCTCCATGAATAAGGCGAGGCCTCGACTTTGATGGACTTGTCAATCTTGATGGGCGACGGCTGAGGTTGATTGACTCGGTTTGTTGTGAGGGAACGGGGTCCCATGTTGGACTTGTCGTTGCCGGGAAGCGTCATTTGGCTAGCTCTTTTGTCGAACCCGGAACCTTTGAACATATTACCAAAATTACTGCCAAAGTCGAGGGCAAAGTCCTCCTCGCTGAGCTTGGGAGGCGTGGCAGTTCTGTCGGTGGAATCTGTCAAACCTCTCGGTCTGCGGGTATTATGGTCGTCCTCCAGCGACGCCTGGGGAGGCAAGGGCGGAGGAGGTAGAGGATGATCGTCGACGGGGACTTGATTCTTCTTTTGACCGCCAAAGGAAAAGGTTCTGCCGGCTTTGCTAAGGAACCCACCAGAGCTGTGCTTGGGAGCTGGGACTTCGGTCTGTGATTTTCTAATCGAGGGTTTCCATTCTTCCTGAGCCCCTTGGTGGCCGAGGTCAGCCGAAGACGGTGTGGTTGAGACGTTGCTGTGGCGCGAAGAAGTATCTGTCGAGGTTGTTTTGGTGGTATTAGATGACCCACTTCCCCTTAAGCTGAGTCAGTCGACGTTAGACACAATCCTTGCCATGGCCCTGAAATGAATTGCAGACAGGGGAGGGAAATCGAGACAGCAAGTAAAAAAAGACCACTAGCAGGGCAACAATCCGCCGCTGAGTCCGAGACATGCCGCTGTGGAATGCATGCCAACCCTCTTTTTGCTGCTTGCTTTCTAGGTCTCGCTTTCTTGCT